TTGACGGTTGGACTCGATGATCTTAGAGGTCTTTTCCAACCTCAATGATTCTATGATTCTACTTTTTTTTTCTCTTACAGTGATAAGATCACAGCTGAACTAGTGTCTAAGATTGGGGACAAAAACTGGAAGATCAGAAAGGAAGGTCTAGATGAAGTGACAAGCATAATAAATGATGCTAAGTTCATACAGCCAAACATAGGAGAACTTCCAGCTGCTTTGAAGAGTCGTCTCAATGACTCCAATAAAATCTTGGTATGTTATTCAAAATCCTGTTTCAGCTGTTTCCATCTTGGAACTTAAGACAAACCATTTATGATTTCTGAACTTTGCTTATTACTCAGTCTGTTACAATGTCATGAAATCAACAGTTGGAAAACAGTGAACTGTGTATTTCTAGCTCATACATTTGCCTATTTTTATAAATATTTGCCTTTGTTTTGTATTTTTAAAAAAGCCTTCAAAAAAGAGAACCTACCTCTACTCTGAATGTAATGTAAGCAAATCTAAAAAAAAAAACCCAAACAAAAAAAGTTTGAATAATTGCTCTGCTTGTGACAAAAGTGAAGTGTCCCTTGTTTGAAAATATTTTTAGTTGAACTTTAATTTACTCAGAAATAATTTTTATCTATATGTGATGAATTTGAAGTCTGGAATAGATATCATTGAGTAGGCGTTCTAAAGTAAAAGCCTAGGTATACAGCAGTGTTACTTTTCCCCATATGACTTGGAGTTTTGCACACGTGGTTGTAACAGTATTTTATTCAAAGCCTTTTTGTTTATGTGCAGGTGCAACAAACACTGAGCATTCTTCAGCAGCTAGCAACAGCAATGGGCCCCAATATCAAACAGCATGTGAAAAATTTGGGCATTCCTGTCATTACAGTCTTAGGAGACAGTAAGGTAGGACACCCATCAAGATCTCTTTCCTTTTTGCCGCTCACAATCTGAGTTGTGCCATGCCTGAGAAAAACTATTGCTGTTTGAACTTGCTTTTGAGAGGTGGATGGTAGTTAAAACTTCTTTGGAAGCTTATGAATTTTTTTGAAAGGTTCTTGCCTAAATGACAACTTATTATCCAAATATGAATGTGTGCCTGAATATATATTCTGCCTGAGATGTATTCTGCTGCTTGCAAATAAACTCAGTCAGTGTCATAATTCAGCTTTTAAATGAAGTGTGGTGACTGTATGCATACTTCTAATGCTGAAAATACCCTGTTAGATGCTAATCAGGTTTGCTTGGTAAAGCTGCTTGTAGAACTTTTTGTTCTTTTAGTGTATCAGTGTGGATTCCAGTGTACGTTGTTGTCTTTGTGTCACTGTGTAGGAGGCCTTTGAACTGCAGGTAGAAACAGGACACTCACAACTGACACTGAAGCTTGTATAATGTCAGTGTCAAGCTTATCAAGATGCTATGTCAAAAATCAAAGCTAGGATCATGGGAGAGAGCTATTTGAAGCAATGGGGGAAGGAGGCTTGGGAAGATGCCAATGTCTTGTGCCAGAAGTCACAGGCAATTATCAGAGGTGGCATGCTTCAGATGTCTCTACTCTGAATGTGAGTAGGAAAAAGAGCAGAAACTGGATCTACTTGTCCCAAGCAATGGAAGGACTAGGACTGGTCCTAGGGCTAGATAAAAACCTGTAAGACTCTTAATGAGAAAACAATTTGAACTAAAAGAACTGAGATTTTACAGGATGAAGTTGGATTCTTCTTTTATTCATCAATTATCTTGAGGAAACAGCAAGCTCCCTTCAGTTCCAAGTACATGGTTTAAGGATAAAGACCAGCTGTGATTAACTTGTACTGTTACTAAAATGCATAATACCAGTGTTACTTGTAAGCACTATAATGCTGACAGAGGATTGTATACTCATTCAAACATATTGTTACAGTAGTAACTTTTTTGATGTACTGCAAGATTTTACCCAGTTTATCCAGTTGCTAGAGTTTTTGAAGAGGATCTTTTTTAGGCCCTACTTTGAAATGTTGATAGTGGACCCACTGAATAGTTGAGAAAAATCAACAGCTTGTAGCATAAGTGAAGACAAATTAAGTTTGGGTGATGGGAATCAAGGCCTCATCAGAGAGACTGATAAGCATCTATTTACCTGCAGCACACAATTTGTTTCTTTTCCTCAATGAGATTAAAGATGGGACAAGTTATTTGCAAGGATGCTCACTTCTTGTTTAGATACATGTCTGGATACTACCTTTGCATTTAAAATTTATTCATACTAAAGCTAAATGAGTCTGTTACATTATCAGCTTGCCTCAGAAATTCAGCCTACAGGAGAGAGTCATATGTATGGAGTCATGTCTATACTGATAAAGTTTTGAAGAACCATAGTTAAGTATTCCATCTGACTTCTTGCAACTTCACATAGCTGCTTCAAAAAAGTGTGCTGTTCTAAATTTTGCTTGGAAAAAACCACTAAAGATGGAAATTGGTAGGAGTTAGAGGGCTCCCCTGTTCCTGACTTGACTTTTGCTCGTGTGTGTCCTAAATAAGAGTGCCCTAATAACAGGCTCCATAACCCACTTGCCTTCATTTATGAATGTGCTAAGTCTATTTTAAGCATTACATAAGTCGCTAACCTTATTCTATAGCTTGTTTGAGAGTTAGGAGACTCCCATAAATCTCATCAATGAATGGTAGCAGGTATGAAGTGCTTTTAAAAATATCCTTTGTCCCTCCTCATTAAACTTACTTTTTAAAAACTATGGTAGATAAGTATAGTGTCCGATTCGGTGATTTCTGCAGCTGATACCGTCACTAAAATGGAATTCTTCTGAATCTTAGACTTCTCAAGCAGTGAATAAAAATAGAAATTTCAAAGCCTGTGATATTGAAGCTTCTTCTTTTCATGGGAAGGATGAATCTATTGCCTCTTTTGTTGTAATCTTCTGACCCCTCTTTAGGATTATTCTTAAATCTTGTTCTTGCTACAGAATAACGTTCGTGCTGCTGCACTAGCAACTGTGAACGCCTGGGCTGAACAAACTGGCATGAAAGAGTGGTTGGAAGGGGAAGACCTGTCTGAGGAGCTCAAAAAAGAAAATCCTTTCCTAAGACAAGAGGTAGGCTTCTGTTAAGTAAACCTCTCCTTATGTGAGTCTAATCAAGATAACCTTACTTGCTATGGACTATGTTTATCTATGCAGACTGAAATGACACAATGCTACCATTACATGAGTAAACAAGTAGCTGTGTCTTCATACTGACATAAAATTGTTAAACTTCAAAAGGCTAATAATGAGCTTTCTTCCTGCATTATAGCTGCCACTCAGATTTTAGTGCCTCTGAAATGAAACTTTTGTCTGTTTTGATCAGCATTTTAAGAGCTAGTGTGTTTTCCCTCAAATTAACCACATGGTAATAAAGACTAGAACTGAAGTGGAGGCATTAATATGTTTGAGGCTGATAAAGTGCAGCTGAAATTCTGATGTTACTTTCAAAAGGGAGAAACAGCCCATGCAGTCTTAAGAGACCAGGCTCCAAGTTTTAAGATAGCTGTGTTTTAATATACTGTATTTAATCCTTAAATTTTTTTTAATTGCTTAGATGAAAGTTGATGTTGGTTAAGAATATTTGTCTGAACAAAGGTTGGGGTGGGTTTTTTCCTACTTACATAGAGGTATGTGAAAGACTACTATTCGGGCTCTTGTGGCCTGACAGAGCACTGTGAGCGCTTCTTCAGCAACTTTTAGTATAAAACTTTCTTTCAGCTTCTTGGTTGGTTGGCTGAGAAGTTGCCTACCCTCCGTTCTGTTCCTTCTGACCTACTCTTGTGTGTGCCTCACCTGTACTCCTGCCTTGAAGATCGGAATGGGGATGTGCGTAAAAAGGCGCAGGATGTCCTGCCGTTCTTTATGATGCATCTTGGCTTTGAGAAGATGGCAAAAGCCACCGGCAAGCTGAAGGTATTTCTGTCACTAAGATTAGATAACGTGACCTTGAACGAGTGGGTATTAATAAGTCACATTCACAATCTCATGATATGCTGTCTTGAGTCATGTAAGCTTGTCTGCATTGAATGCTTTCGGGGGGCTGAAAATAGTATCAGGAGGCTGTGAGTTAGAGCTTTCTCTACTTCAGATAGACTACTGCCACCACAGGTTTCTCACTTAAGAGTGAATAAATGTCAAACTCCTGTCCTTCTGAAAAAAATCTACCTGCAGATAGCTTCTATACCAGTTACTGTCCAACTGTATGCCTTTAGAAGCCATCTTAAGGCATGTGTTCAAGCAATTTGGTGTATCTTACAGACCCTTGAGTGCTGAATCACTGTTAGGGCACTCCATTAAAGTCATAGGACTGCTCACCTAGAACAGATTGCTGGTTCACATGTTTCTCATAGGTCTTGCAGAAGAAACTTAATGGAAAGGTGTTTTATCTCAGAACAGAAATATCTGAAAACATTGATGCTCTAAGATAAGTGTCCTGGAAGATGCTAAACAGAGAATAGCTTGTTTCAAACTACTGTCATTTTCCTTGTCTGTGGCATGTATTAGTAATTGGTATAACTAACCTTTCCAAATTTATCACTTCTTTTTCTGCCTTCTGTTCTTTAGCCAACTTCCAAAGACCAGGTACTGGCCATGCTTGAGAAAGCCAAAGCCAACATGCCAGCCAAACCAGCTGCTCCTGCTAAAGCATCTTCCAGAGTGGTAGGGGGAGCAGCTCCAGCCAAATTCCAACCTGCATCAGGTAACCTCTCTTACGTTCTGAGAAATGACTGAGAAAAGGGTGGTTTTTGAAGCGTTTTGACATGCCGGAGGAAGAAGCTTACTTAGCAGCAGGAGAGGAATTCAGCATAGTTAGGGTTACAAATAGCTGTGTAATCTAGTGAGTTCTGTCTGCAGTTCTGGTCTTACTTGCAGCTGAGTCAACTTCTAATGTAGGAGTGTTTTTCCTTTCCACACAACCATCTGTCAGCTGCTCTTTTAAAATATCTACTTGGTATTGAAGCTAAAAGCCATGGACTAGAGGGTTGTTTTTTTTTAATACTGATCTGATTTTAACATAACATTTTTTAAATGTTTTCACATTAGTTTTTATCTGGACTGTTTCCTCAGTATAGTTCACTGTGGGGCTACCAGAATGCTTGTGCTGACACAAAAGAGGGTAATGGGATTAGGGGACAGGTGACTTCAAGAAGCAGTCCTGCCTTATCCCTCTGCTGGGGCTAGCTTGCCTGCTCAAGCTGGGTGCAACTACAGCTCTAGACATTAGCCTGCACAGTATATGTGTGTGTGCATTTTTAAATTGTTTTGATAATGACAAATTTGCTAACATATTATGATATTATTTATGAAAACTTTGTATGCTAACATGGAATTTAAGGAACTTCTTTTATGGGTCTAAAATCCTCAGACCTCTGTGTGATAAACGTATTGTATCCATGAACAGTTTTTCTTCTGTCCTAAGAATGGAAAACTGTGCTGACCTAAAAGGGCTTCTTGGTAGTTTGAAATGGTCTATTGTTCCTCCAGCACTTGCTGAAGATTCGGGGTCCAATACTATGGAATCCAAGCCTGATCCCAAAAAGGCCAAAGCAGGAGGAGCCTCCTCTAAAGCTAAGGTATGTTGATTTCATTTTGTATAAAATCCGTTCTATGAAGTTAATAGCTGTAGTTCGTTAATGTATTATAGGTAGAAGAGTATAGCCCTTGCTAGGGACTGCTTTTACTGAGAATCTTTATGCTTGTCTGAGTTCTGAAATGACAAGTGTTCCCATATCACTTACTTAACCACTACTCTTGTCATTACCTATTTAATTCTTAAAGTCTGTGTTGTCAAAAATGCTGTCTTGTGAGCAGCTCAGTCTGTGTTCTAAATCTGCTTGGCCTCCTTGATTTTGTGCTGTTGAGAATTCATTCTTACCATTGCAGTTCCAATGTTATACTTCGAACAGTAATTTTGAACACATGTATCAAAAGAAATTGCCCTTCATACTGTAAAGGAGAGATTAAAATGTTCTTAATCACAAGTGCAAAAAGGGAAGGAAGATGCTTAAATGCATAATAATCTCAACTGATGACATCTGAATTTGGGGTTAGGTTTTTCTGTTGTTTTGTGTTACAGTAATTTTTTTGCTATTAACTTTAAAGTTTGTCCTAGGTGTATAACTAAAAAAACCCCAAATCGTTCTACAGTCCTGTTGCCTCCATTGTGTAAAGTAGTGCTGTAACGAGAACATTTGATGTAGGTCCAGATTCATGGCAGGAATGAATGGAACAAGCCTTGAAGGATGTGGTAGATTTGCCTAAGTCGATGTATTCTTCTGTCAAAACTGATGCTAGAGTTAATGCCTTTGCTGTGAACGCATTAAAAGGTTTGGAATGGTAACTCTTAAGACTAAATAGCTGTCTAACAACAAAGCCTTTTCTGTGGCTTATTTACAGCGGTCAGATGTTAATAGCAGTATGTCCAAGGGCAATACCAGCCTGTCCAAAGCTAATACAAGCCTCAGCAAAGGCAGTACCAGTCTGACAAAGAGCAAATCTATCAAACAGGTACCACATTGGATTTTAGGGATGTGTGTGGGTGACTAGCACACTGGTTGAGAGTGATGTGTCATATTTCACAGGGTACTACTGCGCACACTGTCATGGGTATTGCTTCCACAGCAGCAGAGCACATACTTTTAAAATTCTAATCAACATTATTCTTTCAGCTTCTCTCTGGCTCTTGTACACATAGGCAGCATGAGGTTGGCTGGTATCTAATACTTGCAGTTGCTGGGACTGAGGCGTATATGTCTTGTGTTGCCTGTTAATACCTTGCTTTTTTCAGGGTGTACAGGGGAAGAAAGTGCTAAGCAAGCCTAATTTGAAGGAAGATGATGATAAATCAGGTCCTATTTTTATCATAGTACCAAATGGGAAAGAACAGAGGATGAGAGATGAGAGAGGTCTGAAGGTGAGAAAAATCTGAATGTATTCACAAGTTTTGAAGAAGTGTAATTTTAATGCATTCTTTTGGCTTTTAATTTAGAATTAAACATGCTATGGCATGAAAGTGCTAGTCTCTGTCCATCCCTTGGATTGATTATCTAGTTCTTCAGTTGACTTTCAAAGGCCAATATCTGGTTTACTGTGGTGTTTCTCTACTTATTTCCAAATTTTGTGCATTTATACACTCTCATAAAAGCCAAAGACCTTTTTACAACTTCCAAGAGATGATCTTCAGTTGTGAAGTATCATCAAGTTTTTACCTGAAAACAGTTGACTAACTTCAGAGTTCTAGGATATATTGTACGTGCTTTAATATATTTATTTTGAACAGCCCCACTTATCAAGCTTGTATTTTGTAGGGAAATTCTATTACTTAAAACATGCATATTATTTGTAACTTGCTAGTAAATAGACCTATCTATTGCTTAAAGACAACCACTTTAATTAAGTGCTAATAATTAAGATAATGGCCTAAAGATAACCACTCCACATAGAGAAAATTTTTCATGTAAGCCAAGGTGAGCAAACACCACTGAATTTTTCCCGTTACTTGTTGATAATGAGACGACTTTGAAAACAGATTCTAAAGCAGAATTAGAAGGGATGCAATTTACAGATTCTTTCAGGAAGAAAAGGTATTGCTTGCTTTGAGTTCCAAATGCTGCCTTTTACAGGTGTTAAAGTGGAATTTCACTACTCCCCGTGACGAATATATTGAGCAGCTAAAAACTCAGATGTCCAGTTGTGTGGCCAAATGGCTACAGGATGAGATGTTTCATGCAGACTTTCAGCACCACAACAAAGCACTGGCTGTTATGATTGAGGTGAGTTTGGATCTGTGGTGGTAGAGGACGCTGTATAGAATTATTCTCTGCTATGAAAGATTCTGCTTGAATTAAAATCAAATAGGAATTCTCTGAGGAGCCAGGTGTCGTCGTTCTGTGAAGTTGAAACTTTAACATATATAGAAATAATTTTCAGAGGAACGATGAAATTGGTATTAGTATTGTTTCTTGGGAAAACGGAAAATTTCCCCCCGGAGACTTCTATTAGCATTTCAGAAAGCTTGTATAAGTTAAAAGTGAGTACTTATGATTCTAGGAACCAATCAATACAAGTAGACTGTCTTATCAGGCACAGCTTTTCCTTATTCTCTGTTCTTTTCTTGAACAGCATGTTTCATTTTGCATACCCTTTTTTTTTTTTTCCTTCAAGCACTTGGAGAGTGAAAAAGATGGAGTCATCAGCTGCCTGGATCTGATCTTAAAATGGCTTACCCTGCGGTTCTTTGATACCAACACAAGTGTTTTGATGAAAGCACTTGAATACCTTAAATTGCTTTTCAATTTGCTGAGTCAAGAAGAATATCACCTTACTGAAAATGAAGCATCCTCTTTCATCCCATATCTTGTCCTAAAGGTACGGTTCATTCTACAGAAACTAACCTTATTTTTCATGAGGAATATAGCAGGATACCATCAAATGCTGTAATATGTTCATTCCAAATATATTGTGAATGGCATTAAATCCAGGTGGCGGCCAGTCACAAGTGGTGTTCCCCAGGGCTCAGTACTGGGGCCAGTTCTGCTTAATATCTTTATCAATGATCTGGATGAGGGGATTGAGTGCACCCTCAGTAAGTTGGCAGACACCACCAAGTTGGGCAGGAGTGTTGATCTGCTCAAGGGTAGGAAGGCTCTACAGAGGGATCTGGACAGGCTGGATCGATGGGCCGAGGCCAACTGTATGAGGTTCAACAAGGCTAAGTGTCAGGTCCTGCACATGGGTCACAACAACCCCATGCAGCGCTACAGGCTTGGGGAAGAGTGGCTGGAAAGCTGCCTGTCGGAAAAGGACCTGAGGATGTTGGTCGACAGCCAGCTGAATATGAGCCAGCAGTGTGCCCAGGTGGCCAAGGTGGCCAATA